GGGGGCAGGTCCATACCAGGTGGTTGGCTTGACGCTTCTATGATAAGGTCCAGCTTATGTATTCCCTGATTAATAGCTGCGATCTCATTCTATTTGACGTGTACGTTGTAACCTGCGTTTAATTTGTCAACAAGTCAGTGTTCGAGAGCGGTTTAGAGGTGTGCTAGATGGGTAGGTTGCTTTGTGCGGTGGCTTTTATCTATTCTGTTTAAGCCGATCCATGGTTGTTTTGCGAATTTGGGGAGGTGCAATTTTTGCTATTATCGGAAATGATGTTAATTGGGTTGATTATGGTACCCGTTCGACTATTGATGGCTTCATTCAGCTCGACGTCAAAATTTTGTATTTGGTGACTTTGGTATGACACCGGTGCGTAGTGCAGCTTTAGAACAGGTTATTGCTCGTGTAGCAGATCTAAGTATGTTTATATGTGTGTCTGGTACATGATATGAGGTGGCTTCCGATTTCAGTCGTTTGGACACGTTGGGTTCTTAAAGTCTTTGTCTTCTTCATTTCTGGTGGAGCCTTCCAGCTTCGGAGCTCTAACTGCTATTTCTCTCAGCTGATTTTAACCATTCTGTCACCGTTCATCCGACCTCTGTGTGCGTTCCACTCTCTCTGTATGCCCAGAATCCATTCACTTACGTTGTCTATTTTACGCGTTCGGCTAATGTCCTCACTCTCTGTAAAAAAGAGTATTTTTTACCATCCTGCGCACAATTTTAATTTTACAGGTTTCTAATATCCCTTTGTGTCCGAAGTAGATGGTCTGGTTTCCGCTGTGTATGCTAATATAGGTCGGACGACCTTTTTATGGATTCTCGATTTGGTGTCGATTTCGATATATTTGTTTCGGAAGATTGAATCGTTGACTTAAACTGAGGTTGGTGCATTACCGCTTTTGCCTTCTTATCTCTGTCTCGATGTCACCGGATTTTGGTATTTCTATGCCTAGTTATTTCAATTTTATCAATTCATGTGCTAGTGCTTTTCTTGTGTTATAGTTGAAAGTCGGGAAAGTAACGACCTTTGTGGTAGACCATTGAGAGTATGTAAGGATGAGTTGGGCTTATCATTGAGACGCACTTTAATTCTTCTGTTGCTCAGCAAGTTCCTTATAAGGTTAGTAATTCTCTTGCATGGAATAATTTGTTGTAGTTTGTATACCATACCATTTCTCATACTGTATCGTAACCCGACGACACGTCTACAAATGAGTAGACCGTCTTGAGCCCTTTTTGAAATCCTGCCTATTCTGGAACGAGTACACCTTCGACTATGGGTGAGATTCGGTTGTATATTGTCTCTCCAGTAACTTATTTCACATGCTAAGTTGCGTGGTAGCTTTGAGGATGGTCTGCTGGTTTTTCGGGTTTTCACTAGTTCTGAGGATATCATTGAACATGTAATGAGCTAACGTTTGGCTAGACAGGAAAGCTTTTCAGGAATTTCGGGAACACCGCCCGTACCGCGATCTTTCCACAATTTTAATTTTGTTAGCATACTGTTCAATTCATCCATAGAAAAACTAGAGAAGCCATAAGACCGTTTTGGTTCTTTAGATAGTGCCTTACATGTAGCTGTTAATAGTATTTTATTCCTGCTAAAATTCCTGTATCTCATATTTTGAATTTTGAAACTGGAAATTTTCAATTAGCAATTACATTTAGGATCAAAATTGGCGTTTCTCTCGAAGTCTATGCGGCGGATTTGAAAAAATTACCACTAAGTATATTTTTACCGGCTGATCAGTGAGCTTCTGCTCTTCAAGCCTCAATTATTGAAAAAAAAAAATTAAACTGAAAGTGGAAAAACTCACAAAACTTCTTAAACGTTTGGCCAGCACCACGGACTTGAACCCTCAAAGGTGTGTTCGCTTCGGGTATGCAATCGTTGGAAGAAAACGTTTTCACGACGGAGTAGAAGCCCTAAAAACTCACCAGTTTGAAAAGTCGCAGTTGACACCACACGTCCGACAACGGACGTTATGGTCAAGATAAACTGCTACTGTTCTTGCAAATTTTTCAATCCACAATACCATCACAAAACACGTGTGATTGACTCTGTCTATTTCAACCTGCATGCTAGCCTATGGTGCTTTGTTACCAACATAAGAAAATTGGCACCTTTTGGAAGTGTAAATTATTTTCGCGAAATTCAAATTAGCAGCTGATTGAAAAAAACAACATTTGGTTGAATAAAATTTTTTTCAAACTTATCACTACATCGTTTAACGCGTACAGTTAGATGAAGTACAATTCAAATAAAAACACACTTTCTAATTCTTAACACTACAACTATTCTACCACTGATATGCTGTTTTTCTGGGAATAATAATTAACTAATTCGGGGGTTGATATGAGGAAATCACGCTAGTCTGTTTGATTTTTCCCTTTTTTTCCCGGTGAGGTTTAGGAAATGCTCTTTTATGCACTCCCAGATCTGGTGGTCTGTCGCTCTGAGTTGTGTGGAACTCCAGCTAAGCTGTTTACCCACTAAAACCCTTTCCTCACCGCCGAGATGTTGTTTGGCCTTGCAGCGCGGTCATTTCTGTCCTATTGTGCCCTCGTAATTTTACTCCTTCATTATCCCTGAATATTCAATAAATTCCAGAAGAATCTTGAGGGAAGTTCGCATGATCTGGTCTGGTGGAATTTCATCCCCTTCCAGGTGTCTTCGTCTACCTGTTGCATATGACGTGCAGTGACACATAACATGCAGAGTAGTTTCGTCCTCTAATTTACAACGCCTGCAGGTCGGTTGATCCCTCAGGCTCATCCTGAAGAGGTGTTTTTTTGCAGGGGGCGTGTCCTGTTAAAAAGGCCTCTATTCTCCTTACTTTTTGGCCTGCTGAGACTTAACAGTTCATTTTTACGTACTGGTTGTGGTGGTCCCACCAACTGCTTTGCGGTATGTACTCGCGGTGTCTCCTCCCAGTACTTTCTGTGTTGTTCCAAGATCCACTGCCCAACTGCTACCCTAACTTGGGCATGAGATATACCACAAGCAGGTTCTTGGTTGGTCAGCGGTTTCTCGGTGGTCCCTGCCTTAGCAAGTTCCGCAGCAATCTCGTTTTCTTTGTTCCTGTTCATACCAGTTGCCCAAGTGAGTTTTACACATTGAGACCTGATTGTGTACGATTCTAATGCCTTTATTGTGGCTTCATCTCCGGTTACGATGGTAATGTGCTTACGTGTGTAGGCTATTTGTCGAGTGTGCTGGAATTCGACCGGTGTCGCTTTTGCGTCCCAGTCGTGGCAGCTTCCTTGGTGTGTGCTGATTCCCCTGAGGGTCTGTCTGGCATAGTTTTGGTTGGTCCATACTTTT